GACCGTCTCCCGCCTCGTAGTCGGGCGTCTGATCATATCGCCCAGCGTTAGGCATTGTTCACAGTTTTTAAATCATCCGAATATTCAAATTCGCGCTAGAATTATATGCGTATCGACCATGGGAATCCCCGCACACGGGAACGCGGATGCGAAAAGGTTTAGATGCGTATCGACGTAGTCAACTCCGCCCTTTCAGCGTTTCGCGTCGAGGTATCGAAAGCGCGAAACGATGCGCCGCCTCCACTTCGCCTGCCGTCGTTGACGGAGTTCCTCAGCAGAGTATTCCCTAAGTGTCCCTCTATAAGTAAACGCAGGCCCTCCTTCACTGCCCTCACCGTCTTCAGAATATGACGTCATCTGTCACCGTCGTCAGCTCAAGGAGGTCTACCGTAAGTGCTTCAGCCTGAAGCTCTTACGCAATTTCGTGAATCGATTTAATGTTGGATAGTTTTCTAGAGGCATTAGCTACCACTGTGCAAATCCCCTCGAAACTAGCTTTCCAGTAAAGGTCGTACACGATCCTTCGAAGACCCCATTGAGCTCGACCAGTGCACCATGTTTCCAGGGCAAATTCTTCTGATGCCGTCCACGTAGGTGGCCACTATGAAGATTTTCTTATAGAATGAATGCGCTCTTCAATAATAAGTTGGAACCATTCGGTCTGAATTGAGCAAAGTGTGCTTAAATCCATCTGAAAGTGGAGACAAAATGTCTTTTTTATTGCCCCCCCCCCCACACCTCTCTCAAAAGGATTCGCAGATTCGAATGCGCGATTCGACGCTCCTCCCATTTTGTGGATCAATACGCATTTGAATCTTTCGCAGATCCGCAGATTCGTTCGTTTCGAGCGTTTTTCGGCTATGGCGCAAGGTGTGAACAGTGCCTTAGGCACGTATGGATCGTCCAGTCGTCAAACACGTCTGACGATCCCTCCAATTTGTGTGATTTTGTTACGATCGTTACGGTCGCACGACCGACAAATGAATGAAATATAAATGCGCCCATAGGCATTGTTCATAGACTGCGATCCCGGTGAAAGGGATGGTATGCATAGGGAATTGTATTCCTTAACGCAATTTCCATGTAACAGGATGCAAAATTGAGATTGGCCGATGTCAGACTTTGCGATTGGAGCGATTTGGTCAGGTCACCATCGCGCGACTCGCGCGATGGTCGCGCGATTCACATTACTCCCATCTTGACCATATCGCTCCAATCGCAAAGTCTGACATCGGTCATTACCGTTATCCACGAACTACTGCATCTAATGTTACCCCTACCGTTTTAGCTCAGCGGAGAATTTTTCATTGTGGATGCTGGTTGACGAAGACGAGTTCTGTTTCGATTCATTCGATACTTCGTATGGTTATGCACCAAAGTGGTCACGGCAAGTTTTTGTAAATCATTTGTGCTTATTAGAAGATAGGCTTGCGAAACTCGGGTTCGGGGGGGGGGCACGCGATGGCGCGGCGCTGTTTTCGTCTGCTCTACCAAGGCTTAGTCACCAATGGCGCGTATTTTGAAACTGCCACATAAGACCGACGTCACACTCGGCGACGAACAAGCGATGGAGCGATTGCGATCGCTCCATCGCTTGTCCGTCGCCGAGTGTGACGTCGGTCTTGTCCATGTCGCTTTCCATCGCGTTGCAATCGCTCAGACCGACGTCATAGTCGGCGACGGACCAAGCGATGGAGCGATCGCGATCGCTCCATCGCTTGTCCGTCGCTTGCCAATCGCTCTCGGTCGAGCGATTGGCAAGCGCACAAACGCCATCATTCACCCCAAAAAACCTACTTACCCATGATGCTATGGGCCCAAGAAACTTTTATACAGCTTTCCGTCCACGAGTTCACCTCCATGTTTTTGGGAACACTTCAAAACTGTCGTGAACAGTTGTGTTATCGGCTTATTAAAAAGTAAAAACTAACAGGCTATGGCCA